GGGGCATGCACGGGGCTGAGGAGATTGGACCACGTGCCCGCTCTGCACTCCCGCCTCTCCCACGTGCCTCCCTTTAACGCCAAGCTCTGCCCAGCACTGCTGACAACGGATTAGGGTCTTTGGGCATGGGGTCGCTCCTTAGGGGAATGGGCTGTGCTGATATGTGCCCCGGCAACCTGGCTCCCTACAATCCCCAGAGAGTTGCAGCCAGGGGCAAAAATCCAGCGCTGGGCCCTACCCCTACTTCTCCCCAACCTGCTGCTGCAGCAGCTGCTTGAAGAGCTTCACACTGGGAAAGGGAGGGAGACCAGAGAGTGGGGAAACCCAATTATGGCTCCATGGGCTGCCTCACAGAGTTCTCCATCATGTGCCTGTCCCTCTGACCCCCTGGAACTGAAGGGAATTGGGGGAGAGAGAGTTGTTCATGGTGATGCTGGCTGGGTTGAATTTGTTCTGGTGAATTTGCGGACAGAATTATACACATTGTGACTCCCTCTCCCTCCACAGTCCAGGGCTCAAGATCTATGGGGTATCCAGTCTTTTCATATTCAAGCCAACTCTTGGCCTCCTGGGCCACTTGAAGCCCACTCCCAGCTACCTCTCCAGAGGAGGTGGAAGAGAAAGCCTTCAGAGACGTAAAGGCAAACCTGGAAGGTAAATGAACATATCAAAGCTTGGAGAGAGGGAAATCACCTTTAATATGGTCGGAGCTCCCCAAAAGCTGAGATGTGGGTAGGAGAGGGAAGATACTGGCCTAGCTCTACACCCCTAGACACCATCCACTTCCCCGTGAAGAGAAGCGGACACTCCTTCCGGGCTTTGAGGTAGGTCACACATGCAGGCATGCTTGGGGGAGCGGTGCTGCCTCCTCAGATGCATGGTACAGGACCCAGGGGAAGGCTAAAGACTGTCCTGAAGGCTATTGTTCAGCTCCTGCCTGCTGCGGAGGTGGGGGTGGGGTGGGGGACGGGGGCGGGAGAAGCTTACTTGGGCCTCCCCCTTCTGGGCTTTTGAAAGCAGGTTCCTTACACTTATTACACTTACTGCACCACAGTCTCCCCTGATCTGGGACCTTCTATGGCTCCTTTGGTTTGCCCTATGAGGAACACACTGTCCTTCTGGCATTCAAGGTCTGTCTGTCCAAGTGGTTCCAGCCTTATGGCCACCATTGCAGTCCTATGTAACATATAAGCCTGTCACCATTCCACCTCACTATTCCACCTCAAAATACTATCGCTATTCTCCTCACCTGGAGATCGTCCCCCCTGCAACTCTGCTTTTAAAGCTCAGCACACTTTACTGCTCCTCCAGGACCACCTCCCCTACACGGATTCTTCTGGTCTTGAAATTCCACCAACAAAAGCTGTCAATCCCATTTCTGAGCTCTTTAGCACACCCTACGTCTCTAAAGGCTTCGCTCATTCAACACCCACCAAGCGGGAATAGTGACCTCCACCCAACCTTTGTGGCTTTTTAAATATATTTTTATTGCCGAAACCGGTTTGGCTCAGTGGATAGAGCGTCGGCCTGTGGACTGAAAGGTCCCTCGTTCGATTCTGGTCAACGGCATAAATATATTTTTATTGATTACAGAGAAGAAGGGAGATGGAGAGAGAGATAGAAACATCAATGACAAGAGTCACTGATCAGCTGCCCCACACTGGGGATCAAGCCTGCAAACCCTGACTGGGAATTGAACCATGACCTCCTGGTTCATAGGCTAGGCAACCTCTGTGATTCTTTTTGCCCATTTTCACAAATTGGTCCCAGCCTTTGCTCTGAAAGTTCTAAACTTGCCACTTTTTCTCCAAAATATTGTGTTCTTTCATGCTTCCATGCCTTTCCTCATGCTGTTCCTCTGAAATGATGACTGTACTTATCAGGTTGGAGAACTAGTTGCCTTGATGACCTGTATCAAAGGTCCCTCTAGGCCAGTTCCCTGATCTCCCCAGGCTGAGTCAAGTGCTTTTTCTTGTACTGTTGTATGTCCCGTGAGCTTCCTGCCATCATGGCACTGACCACATAGGGTGTGACTATCAGGTACTTGTCAGTTTCTCACACTAGAGAGAGATTATTTGAGGGCAGGATCTAGATGGAACCAGTGGCTGAGCACATGGTTAGTAGTGCCTATTGAAAATATGGGCACTGCTCATTGCCAGCTGGTAGAACAGGCAGGTGGGTCTTAACGCTCCCTCTCTCAAATCAAATTATTATGCCCAGAACCAAGCCGGGTAGGTGTGGAAAGTTTTGCCTATAGGAAGGCCCACTTGAAGTGCACATAGAAGAAGAAAAAGGAAGATGAGGAGGAAGAACAGGAAGATGCTGGGCTGTAGGCACGAGGAGGGCCCTGGGGGATGGCCAGCTGGGCATGGTTCCTTGGCTGCTGCTTTCTGAAAGGGGAAGTTCTATGGTCCTGGATCAGCTTCTTACCCAGAAGGAGGAAGGGGACCTGGAATCTGGGTCATTGTGGGTTCTGTTTCTCTCTCTCAGGCTTGGGGTGCTATGGTTTTCATCCAGGGCACTTGGAGAGGGAGCAGAGTGCAAAGCTGCCTTCCCCTGCTTCTATGTCTCCATCTGTGGCAACAGCTGGGAAGGCCTGGGGCCTGGGATCATTAGGGACCAATGGTTCTTGAGATGAGAGAGAGAGAAATAGAGAGCAAAAGACAGGGTAGGTGGTAAAGGCAAGGGAAAG